GCCGAATGGCATTGTTTGTTGTGGTGAAGTTGTTGGACCTCATTTATAGGGAGTTGAGAGCAGCTTGAATTGTTGGGAAAGCTCAGCAGTGGAGGACATTGCCTTTCAAACTTGAGGTTGCACAGTGAGAGTCAGGTCACCTTCCACATTTGGGAAGGGCATAGATGACTGTGGAATGGAACAGAAGACCTCAAAGTACATGCGTGTGCATGCTCCCTAAAGTACCTGTGCTTATGTGATTGTGTGTTCTGGATCATGATATGAAATGGTCTTGCTGGAGTCTTGCCTGAAAATTGTCTGCAATCCTCTGTGTTTGCAGATCTTTCAGACTGAATCAGGAACAGTGAATAGGGAGGAAACTACAAGTTCCTGCAAACAGGGAAGGTGACTTGGTCCATTCCAGGGTCTGCTGCAGCCCCACACATCCCTAGAACAATTGCTGACCCTATGACTTAAATATGGCAGTCATTTCCCACTCTTTTGGCAGGACATTATGCAACTACTGTGGATGGGGAAGTACCATGATGGAAGTAGCCGTGATGGAAGTAGCCATGATGGTAGTAGCCACGATGGTAGGAGGTGGGTAGTGAGGAGCCTTACATTCAAAGCCTAGCAAAAGGCTATTTCATAACCACTTATGATCAGTAGCGGAATTTTTGGGGAAAGTGGGGGTGATCCTTGCTCCTCATCTGTTCTGCTGGCTTCAGGAAAACTGGAGAGTGGCTGGCTACCATCCGCCCCGCCACATACCTGGTGATTTAAAGCTGCCTCTAAGAGTTTCCATTTGTCTTTCCTCAGATGCAACTGAAGCCTGTTCACTGCACTGGCCCTTGCAGGGCCTGAGAGGATGTTTGATTGGGGTTAAGTAGAGTGCTTAAGTCGGTGGGTGGGTGGGTGGGGGCATGATTTCTAGCACCTTTCTCAAGGAGGGTGGGGCAGATTTCTTACAGTGAAAGAGTGAGTACAGGTTGAAGGAAGGACAGGGACAAGGCAGAGAAGAGCACCTAGGCTCCTGAGAAAGGTTCTGTGGGACAACATGGTCCGGTCAGCTTCACTTTTAAGGTGACTAGCATTGTACACATTTGATTCATGTTGAGCACACCCACATTGTCCTGGCCTATCTGTACTCACATCCAGCCTCACGTATATAGTGCAGATAGCTCCTGGTTCCGTTTACATAACCAGGGACACAGCCTCTCAGCTACACCCCTAGAGCAAACAGACCCAAGGCTGCTCTTGGGACTCCACAGAAGTGTACATCCTGCCTATAGGAGCTGGGATTTCTCCAGTTCCTTTGATTTTGGCTGGTTCCTTGTCCACAATATAAAGAGTGATTTACTGTGGTCTAAATAACACTGTGAGCCAAACATGTTGTAGATTCAACAAACTCTGATGATATTATCACTTTGTAGCTAGGACCCTAAGGCAAGGATGAGCGCCTATGAGTTTGTCCCGATTGTGACGCCATGCTTGATTTCTGAGATACCCCACTTCCTTCAGTTCCCCGTCAGGAGCTGCTTTCCATGAGAGCTTGGCACACCATCTGCACCTTGCTCCATTCTGTCACATTAATATAACAGAAGTCCATCTGATGCAGGGACCCTTGTGAGAGATGCCCTTTCGTGGCTCACTCACCATTTATTTCCTTCAGGTTTGGAGATGTGAGATAACTTATCTCCCCGTGCATTTTTGGAGATCTTACAAGTCATCCAGTTTGATCACTGCTTCTCCACGGAGACTCATTTCTCTTCTATGTGTCAGCCCTGCAGATGCTGTGAGGCAGATCTGACAGCATCCTTAATCCTCTTGTCCTCAGACTGAGTGTGCCCAGTTCAGCATTTATGTTGCTACCAGCAGTCATCTTAGTGTCATTTGTAGGTCGCATTTGAGTGAATGACAGAACTGTGAGCATTGGCCATTTGCCAACCCAACCACCTTCAACATTATCAAGTTTCATATCCGACCTGTGAGCTGAAAACACTTCCATTTTATGAAAGAGAAAAATGAAACTTGTGAGGTATAGGGCTTAGGCCAAGGTTGTGTAGTTAGAAATGTACGAAGTGGTAAGTTAACCAGTGCCTTTTATCAAACAGCCATGTTCTGTTTTCCTGGAATGTCACCAGGGCATAGATAGTCATAAACCTGAGATGCAGTCATGTCATCTCTTATTAAACATGATTTTATCTTTACATTCTCATGTCCTGTTTGCTAGGAACTTCTCTGTCTCCCTATACCTCTGCCTTGCCTGATTCTGCCTGTAGATTGGAAAAACATAGAGTCAGCTTTTCCATTTAAGAAACAGAAATAGAGCAAAGCAGTCAATGGCTTCTGTCTATATCCACTCGGGGACACAGCATACAAGTCCAGACTGAATCTCAGAGTCCCACACACAGGCAACGCTTGCTGATTTTATAGGTTTATGTGTATGGTGGAAAATATGGAAACACTTGTCTCTTTTCCATAATATTTTTGGAATACAGGAGCCCTCTGGTGGCCAAAACAGTATCACAAGGGTGGGTGTCCTTGGGAACTTAAAGTTTGCCAGAGTTAAGCCTGAGTAATGATCTGAGCCTTCATCTCTGGCCGCCCCTTTCCCACTTACCCTCCTTCTTTCTATGAGGAGACCTGTTTCTTGATGCCTCTGCTGGATTTCCTTGCTGTGCCTTTCCCTCCAGCCCCAGCTGGCCCTCCTGATCCCCCCATTCCTGCCCTTCCCTGGAAACTGTCATCATCTTTGGCTTCAGGGAACCCTCCCTGAAGTGAGGCCAGGTCCTCCATGGCAGATGATGAAGGACAGCTGCAGCAGCTGCTTCCATAGTGTGGAATTCGTGTCCCTTTTGGGTGTTTAGAAGCTGTGGATGGATTAAGTCATGATGCCTGTTGATAAGCAAGCATGGACAACATCTTGCTACACTGTGATCTCCCAGAATTCAGCTGGTGGAGGAGCAGGTGAGCTCCTACACATTACCTGGTTCTGGGGTTGGCCCACTGCCCAGAATGGGGCTCTTCTAGGTTTCTAGGGTATTCTTAAAATGTACAGATGTCTGCTTACGTCTTTTTAATCAGCACAGAATGTTTTGTCTTCTGTAAGGTCATGCCACACAACAATCAGCAGCAAATGAAGATGCACACAGTAGCTATTCCAAATCTTCGTCATTGAGAATGGACTCATCAGTGCAGAGGCAGAAGGCCACTGTGGTCCAGAGGCAGAAGGCTGCTGGTGTATCAGTAGACTGCACTGAAGCAAACAAGGGGAGGAGAGCCAAGATGGGGCAAGGACAAGGGGCAGACATTTTGGCTAAGATTTTAGATGGGATTGCCTTGGCTTTAAGTATAATAAGCTAACAGGGTAATATCACAATTAGATTGCACTTTGGACCGTTGAGGAAAAAAAAACATTCTATAAAATAAATTGGTGACTTTATTACATTATAGTGTTTAACAATTAGTGGCCTAATCACTATGTGATCAGGTGAGATAGGCCAATGCCTTAACCTCACCACAGGGTCAGTCAGAACAGTTTTCCCAGGATCTTGAGTATGTTGCAAGAAAGAGAGGGGTGATGCTTCTGGGAAAGCAATGGCTGCCCAGATTTCAGTAAGTAGATGTTCTTCTGCTAATGTGGTCCAACTTGGGGGGGCCCAACCCATTGGAGTACGTTGATAGTAGCAGCAAAATACAGTCGAGCTTCTATTTCCATGGTTGTCCCAGAAAGGAAGCCTTTGATGAAGCTTGATGGATTTTTCTTTTTGAGACAAGGTCTCACTGTATGGGATTGATATGTAGACCACGCTGGCCCCAAACTCATATATTTCCACCTGTCTCTGTCTTCAGAGTACTGGGATTAAAGGCATATGTCAGATTCCACTCCTGATAAAAGTGTAGTTGAGAGCGTTTGGAGACCTTCAGGTGTGTGTGTGTGTGTGTGTGTGTGTGTGTGTGTGTGTGTGAGAGAGAGAGAGAGAGAGAGAGAGAGAGAGAGAGAGAGAGAAAGACAGAGAACACTGCTGGCACTTCAGGAATGAGAGCACCATGAAGAGGTAGAGGGCCTCCTCTGTGCTTCGTTCTCTTCACAAGGAATTGTGGGAAAGTCACCATGACCTTGGACCTGGAGGAGGAGAAAACAGACAGCTGTATACTCTATCTCTTGCTCTAAACCCAAGGTTGAGCAAAACTGTCAAGACCTGTGGAAAAACAATGTCCCTTGGGAAACTCTCCCTTTTCACAAAGCAGGACTTACACTTTTCTATGAAAATGACGACAATGGGGAGAAAAGGCTGGACGATTTGGGCACCAGGCCGAGGTTTCCATGAAAGGTTAAAATTCCTCAGCTGTTAAAAGCATCAGTGGAAAGAGAAGCAGCTGGCCAATCCTGGCGTTCCGCACACAAACAGTTTAAGTGAACTATAACCTCTTCTCTGTTCTTCCAACCTGTGAGACTCCATAGCGTTACTACTGCTCACAGCTCAGCATGCCAGCAACTTCTCTCCTAACCAAGTGGCAATAGCATTGCTCACGGCTGCCAATGCAGGCTTTGGAGGCAGGAGATTGGTTGAGTCCTGTACTCAGATGATCGATGGAGAGGCTGCCTGGGCTTGATTGACGTGGAGTTATCAATGGAAACGGTCTCTCTTCATTTCTGATAAGCAAGGCCTGACATAAAGGAGTTATCTTTGCCAGACCTGCAAGGTGGGAAGTCTTGGCAACAGCTCCGGGCGAAACCAAGAACAGGATGAGGCCAACTGCAAGGAGCGTCTCTGGTTTCTGATGAGGGGGTGCATATCAGAGGTGTGTGGCCTTTGGCTGGTGCTTGGCAGAAAAGGGAAAGAGGGACTATGTCCTACTCAGAGGGACACGGAAAGGGTGAAGGAGGAGGTGGGGCAGCGTTGAGGCCCTTTAAAGAGGTCCCGGTAAGCGGTGGAGTCAAGGTGGGAAGGCTCTCTCAACTCGGAGAGTTGTATCCCTTTTTAAAATTTTTAAATTTTTTTTTCAGGTTTGTTTAACAAACCAGGGCTGACCCAGCGGCAGGTGGAAAGGTGTGTCTCTACCAATGCAGCAATATGGTTTTAGGGCCAAAAGGTGGAGTCTGTAGTCAAACGGACTCAAGTCAACATTATGATCCAAATTACTAACTGTGACCTTGCAGCACATGAGAATGTCCACCTCTTGGGACTTTTAAGAGGAAGTAAGACAATGCATGTGAAACCCCTAGCTCAAAACTTGGCACTGCGCATCGAGCACTGGTGATGACTCATCTCTCTGCCGCAATGACTGTGGGGAACTTGGTGAATGGGGCTTAGACTGTTATGACAGCGGGTGAACAAATAACAGGCAAGCAATTGCCATATGCTAGGTGCCCTCTGTTACAGGCACTTGATTGCCCAAGTCATACTGTTCCAGTGAATCATGGTAAAAATGTGAACTGTTATGCTCATAAATAAAGCAGAAGGGTTGGTCAGCATATCAAGAAACAGCGCATGGCGTGAAGGATGTGAAAGGAGAAGGTCATTTGGACATCCACTCTTTGGTCTGCTTTGGTTTTCAATACGTATTGAGGTGAGGAATGAGAACTCTGGGTAGTAATTCATTTATTCTTTCTTTCTTTCTTTCTCTTTCTTTCTTTCTTTCTTTCTTTCTTTCTTTCTTTCTTTCTTTCTTCCATTTATTCATCTATTACCCATGGAACACACACAGCTGGCCGAGGACATCCAGCCACTTATTATCTGTAGAGCTCAATACATATGAACTTCTTTCCTTCCATGGAGGCAGCATTCTGGTGGAGGCAATAAACAGACAAGGAAACAGATACCACAATGTCAGATGGTGATAAGACCTAAAAACGATAAGAAACCAGGGTGAGGGAATAGCAGGATTGGAGGTGGCTGTTTCAGATAAGTGGACTGTCTCCCCATGGAGAACACACATGAGTGGAGACCTGAATGGGGAGGGGGGTGGTCATATGAATATCATTAAGCAGAGGGAAATGCGAGTAACGAAGTCCTCAGAGGTGAAACAAGGTAGTGCTGGGTCTGCAGTAGCCACTGTAGCTAGAGAACCATGTTCTGTTTCTTCCCAGGCGCAGAGAAATAAAGAGTCACGAGAGGAGGCTCTCAGTAGAAAATTTGACAGCAGCCCAAAGGCCATCTCTCAGGGTAAGGCCAATTGTGAGGAAGCAGGCTGGGGTATCAGACACAAGGCAAGTTCCCTAAGACAATCAGTGACTTGTCTGAGAGCATAAGAAACGAGACCCTCACAGAGCCACGTGGCTTTGGACAGTCTGTGGCTGTTATTGCCAGATGCCCAAGTTGGAACCCGTTATCATCCTCAGAAGGAGTAGGGGAATGCCCTTCTCTCCCCACTCTTCTTTTCTCACTTATCTGGGATCATCAGCTTTCTTTTTAGTTGCCCTTAAGGACATTTGTATTTTTCAGCAGTATTATATGCCTAGACAACTACTGGACCCGTGAAGACAGGGACAACATCCAATCGATCAAATTTCCATGGGAAATAAGTGTGTAACTCAGTTGAGATAAAAGAAGACCAAACAAGTGTTTATTACGAGTTTACTGTCTGCCCAATAAAAGGCCAACCATTTTATTTATTTGATATTTTAGCTTGTTCAAACTTTCAGTTACCTCAGGTTACAGGTTTCTGAAAACAGCAAGCAAGCCTTTTGTTATTCTCCCATCCTTTGCCACTGCCATTATCACTCTTTTCTCGAACACTGGTGGATTCTTATAGACCTGTGGGGCAAAAGAAAAAGCCCTGGTAGGGAGAGTTCTTTCTAACATGCACTAACTGTGTCACCTTGTTACCTTACCCCAAGAAACCCAGGCTCCTCATCTGAAAGTTCCAACGTTCTGTATTTAGAAAGCACTGCCATGAAGTGCTACGAAGACTAAGTCACAGTTTGTAAACTGTGGAGGACCCAGATTCCATCCCTAGAACTGCAGATAAACAATAAATAAACAAACAAATGATCATTATACCCGTTATGTTAGGGACCTTCACACCAGCCGCCTCTCCGTCAGTGTGAACTACCTCTTGCTGAAGGTTTTCAACTGTTAATTCCTTTAGTCTTTAGTTTGCTTATTTGCTTTGAGACAGAGTTTCACTATGATGCCTCAAACTCCCAAATCTCCTGCCTCAGCAGCGATCTATTTCATTGCTGATGAAATCATTTCAGCTCAGTGTACACAGTGGTGATGAGGCGGGGGTGAGGAACAGGGCAACCACTGGGAGGAAGCCTGCTCACATGTCACATGGTGTTGGCCTTCCGCTCAGCTAAGTGCCACAGAGGTGCAGGAGGGAACACTCAGAGGTGACGGACAAGAATCGATCTCCTTACTATGACTACCCTGACTACTGGATATTTGCCCATCCAACGGGGGTGCTTTTGCATTCGTGTGTTCTTATGTTGGTAGAATGGTCAGGGGTACTTTTTGACAGTAGGGAAGTGTACCCCATCCTAAAGGCAAAAGGTCTCTGAACCCAACAGCCGGAGGACCAAGAGGAAGATGGAGAAAGGTTGGATCAGAGCTTAGGAAAAGAAATGAACTTCGCTTGGCAAGGGCTTGCCTTGCTCCAGACCCCTTAGGGTTTTACACCAGGGCCCAACTGTGACACTGTTAGCATAAGCCCTGGCAGGAGGCTTGGACTCAGCAGGGCTGAAAGGAGCCTGGACCCTGTCATTGAGACCATCCAGCCAGGCTCACTCTGTCCTTTGTCAGGGCCCAGGAGGCTCCGTATCGTTACCCCAGAGCATTCTGCTTCCCTCCGGCCTCATTACGCAGTACATTAGCTGTGGGAACGAAACCCATTACAAAAAGGAGGGGGTGGAATTGGCACACGGGGAAAGAGGCCTTCTCAGATCAAGCTAACAACTTGTGCCTATTAACTAAAGAAGATCATTAGAAAACTCCCATCTCCTCTCCCCCTGCCTCGCCCCTTCCCCCCTCCACTTGCCATGTCTGATAGAGACAGAGAGGGGCTCACGTGAATTGCTTGTTTCTTGCATTCCCCACAACCAGTAAAGGGCCTGGCTCAGGGTTTTGTAGAAGAATAAGCTAGGAACGGGTAGGTCTTGCTTGGATACTGGGCTGTCCTTTATTTTCATCATTACTTTAATTGATCTGTTTTGCAGTATTGAGGACGTAGCCCAGGACGTCACACAGCTGGACAAGTGCTCTGTCACGGAGCTATACCACCGGACCTTGAGTGATATCATGAACGAACAAGATCTCTCTCTTAAAGATAACTCTTTGAGGATTTATAGAGACAGTGGCCAAAATGAAGTCAGTCCCACTTAGGATTGTCATTTAACATGCCATGACAAGACAGAGGACAAAGATTGTCTTGAGATGAATCCCTGGGTGCCAAGGACTGGTGAGAACCAATGTATCCTGGTCATTTTGAGAAAGAAGTCTGTCCTCCTGTGATCCCAGGCACAGGATGATTTTAATTGCTGAACCACCTTTTCGGCCCCTCATTTTTCTTCCTTATGTCTTCTTGAGCTTTCTCCTGGCCTGACTGCCTCCTTAGCTATGTTCCCCAGCTAAGGCTGGGGAAATGTCTTCTGAGAGATCCAGTCAAACGTCTTTGATTTTAGGCCACAGCTGAATGCTGAGCACCGAGTGGTGGCCTTGTCTCTTGACTTCCTCCTCTTCCTGGCGCAGAATAAAGATAAAAACAGGAAGCCATCTATGATGCTGGGCTTGTTGCTGCACACCTGTAATCCCAGCACAGAGTAAGCGGGTGCATGAGATAAGGAGTTCAAGGTCATCCTCAGCTACATAGTGATATTGAAGCTAGCCTGGGCTACATGAGGCCCTGTTTCAAGAAACCAAAACTAAACACATGAACAAAGAAACAAACAGAACAAGAGAAAACTTACATGAAATATGGGTCTCAGAAAAAGAGATTAATCCTTTTGGGGTGCCACTCCCGGCATTACTTAAATGTAAGGGGCTCTACTGCCACACGTACCCCCCATAACTGCCTCCCCACACCCACTTTTTTTTTTTTTACCCAGAAGTACTTTCTACCCAGACAGTGACTGACTGGACCAGTGTGCCTTTGTGTCTATGTGTGTTTCCCCCTTGTGCATGTTTTGGAAAAAGTCTCAAACTCCTCAGTTATAGAGGGGACCGTATAGGGACTATACCACGTGCAGCTCCGTCCCCAGCCTTGTCGGGTGACTGGAGACAACCTGGTGGGGGAATTTCAGAAGCTCAAGCATCCTTGTCCCGCGCTGTGGTGAGAACAGACACCCCCCCCACCCCCAACCCCGCCTCCCCACCAGTGTGGTTCGCTGAGGCTCTCTAACAAGGTCTGATTAGCATTCCCTTTTTCAGGGGCTCCTTCGACATCCCAGCTGCACTGATTGTGGGCAGTGAGATGGAATCGGGTGCAGTGATGACTTGGGAAACCAGCCGACAGGGAGGGAAGCAAAGCAAAACAAGGGCGAAGGCTTTCTTACAGCCTGGAGAGGCTGCTGCAGTTAAACGGACTGGGTAGACTACTTGAGAAGACACTTGGAGAATATAGACACAGGAGCTGGAGTTAAGTGAACAGAGGGGAGAAGAGTGCCTCATGCTAATAATACCGAGAGAGTGAAAACAAAGCAAAAGAACGTACCTAGAAAGATGCAAAAAAATAAACAAACGAATGAATAGAAAAACCATCTTTTCCTAGAGCAATGAATGGAACAGAAAAGACTGGAGTTTTGAAAAATTAAAAGGTAGAGAAATTTCCTATCCCTGGTGTTTGCTGCATTATTGATTCTTTTTCTACCTTTTTGTCCTCATAGAGGGGACAAAAAGGTAGTTTGGATTTTGCTCCTGGGAGAGCTGGGTACCAAGATTGAAAGATGTGTGTACTGGAACTGAGGAGGCTCTGGCCATCCTTGCTTTGAAGCTAACTCCAGATGAATCTCCAAGTTTCCCCTTTCATCTTAAGCATTACCCTAAGAGAAGTTTTCTGTTTTGTTTTGTTTTTACATCTTTCCAGGGGATATCTATCTACAAAGATATGTCCATACTACATTGGAAATAAGATAGCAGCAAAGAAGGCCAGCAGCAGTGAGGAGAGGAGAAAGAGGCAGGGACCACATCCCTTCAACCATTTCAAGTCATAAAAAGTGAGGTAAATCTGTGGGGTCTAACAAGTCCCAAGCCTTATCCATCTTAGGGTCAAGGACATTCAGCACAACCTATCATTGTAGCTAAGAGTTTAAGATCTAGAGGCTGACAGACTTGTGTCTGAACTTGTGTCTTAGCGCTGAAGAACTAAGTAATTATAGTGGAAGTTGCTGTCTTCTTTAAGTATTCTTGATTCGAAGATGGAGTCCTATGCCCAGCCACAGAGAACTGCTGTGAGATACCTACCGTGCAGTAAATTCAAAACACAGCCAGAAAGATTATGCAGTGAGCCAGCAGATATCTAGGTGTGCACCAAGAAAAATCACGTCACCACCCATCGGGCCTCCACTCTGCTCCTCAGTCAGTGAAACAGGGTCAGATAGCCACGTATGCCATCATATGGACTACACACACACACACACACACACACACACACACACACACTGGGTCTTGCTGTGTAGTCCAAGCTGGCCTTGACTGGAGCTGCTCCTGTGTCAGCTTCCCCATTGCTGACATTACAAATGTGTGCACTGTTCCTTGCTGGCCACAGATCACCTATGGACAAACGAGGGTTCATAGTGAGAGAATGCTGGTAACTACCACAGCGATGGTATTTTTATATGTGTTGGTCAGACTGTCATCTCATCCCTGACTTGAGCTACAATAAGAGCTCATTTAATTTTCTAAGACCCCTATTTCCCCATCGGTAAGACAGGGATTAGGAGCTAGACATGGTGGTACACATTGACAGTCACAGAGCTTAGAAGGTAGAGAGGCAGGGGACTCAGAGCTGTTCAAAGCCAGCCTCAGCTACATAGTGAGTTCAAAGCCGGCCTGGTCTACATGAGACTCTATCTCAACAATTAAAAAAAAAAAAAATAGAGTAACACGAAACTGCCCATTCTGCAATCATATAAACTTCCTATTTTTGTGATTTTTTCCCCCCAAAAAATGTCCAATGGATAAAATTGGAGTTCTGGAGATACCCCATGAGCAACTTCCCCCCGCTCACACACAGCCTTTTCTTCTTGTCCTTTTGTCTACCTTCCGGGAGTCCTCAAACTTATTGTGCTTAAACAAAAAGTAGAAGCTCAATATGGAGGAAATTTCCCCAAGTTGGTAAGCTACCAGGATAGTAAAACAGGACAAATACAATTTTGGAGGAGAGAGTGAGGACCTAGTGAGATGTCACTCAAGCAGAAGCCCAGGTAAAATGCCGGGTGAGCAAGCAGAGTGGCCCATCTGAAATGTCAGCTGCAGAAGGCGGGGGATCTGCAGAGCAACTTGGCTAGGGAGGGTAGCCAATCGGCAAGAAAGATTTTCTAGGTGTGGACCATGAGACAAGGATTCCTGGATTCTGGCCCTTTCCAGGCTCCCAACTAGCATCTACCTTAGCAATTGCTTCCGGCCCCCCGATGTTATGTCCGTCGGAGCTCTGTCCCTCTCTTTCCAGCTGTGATGGGCAAGGGGGCCTTGCACAGCTGCTCTTGGCTGGGGAAGGGTCCATACTTAGGCGTCACCACTCCTGTTCCAGCTCATTTTCGGGATGGTTGCTGCAAGGCCACGGTGTCCTGAGTGAGCCAGCTCTGCTTTCCCAGGCACACTACAGTGTGGACTGCAGTAGCTCCTTCCGCAGCCTCACCTGGCTTCTTCTGTGGAAAGAGGCTGAATGGAAATGCAGTGTGCATGGTCTCGGGTGGCCATCCACACACAACCTGGCTCCCTGAGCATCTCAGAGCCTTGTAACTGTACAACTTGACCCTCTTGACAACAACAACAATCAACAAGTGGAGCACTTGAGACATGCAAGTACCATAGGGAGACCTTCAAATGCATGATCTGGTTTAATCCTGGCAATAGCACCATGACCTCAGCAGAATGATCTCCATCTTCTATTATACACACAGAACCCCAAGATTAATGAGGTTAAATGACCTGCTCCAAATCACACAGTTGGGATGTGAGGGCGGGGCCTAAACTCTGCCCTCCAGGTGCCAGCACGAAGGCCTGTCTTACTCTTCATACTGTCTTACTTTCCACAGGCCACAAATCACGGGCACGACTTTGTGCTAGTGAGTGATTACAGAAGAGGAGGATAACATAAGGCACTGCATTTGTTATGTCAGGTTACAGGGGTCCCTACAAGATGTTTGAACTCCCTCCTGATCTTAGAAGGCCTCTTCGGATTCAGCCCAGCTTCCCATTCCCAATCCTGTCTCCCTGAGTCCCTATTCTGGAAAGGCTGCTACAATGGACACTGCATTGCCAGACTAAAGGCCCAGCCATAGTCAGTACTGAGCTAATACAGTAGCCAGTGGCCTCGTGCCTCTCCTGAGCACTTGAAATATGGTTATTTTGAATTGAAATGCACTCTGGATATTGAAAAAAAAAATCGAACTTCAAAGAAGAGAATTACATGGGTGAAAAGCAAAGCTAAATGCCATGTTAGTTACTTTTATGTTTACATATTGAAATGATGTATTTAAGGAATACTGGGACAAGCAAAATAACATTAAAATCAATTTCACCTCTGTTACTTTTCATTTTCAGGGTGCTAAAATAGTTAAGATTATAGTTGACTGAACAGTACTAGAATTAAGTTACCTGGTCTCAATCCTAGCTCTGACACACACTACCTAGATGACACTGAGCATGTCCACTCATCTTGATGTCTCCAGTTTCTACTTGTGTATAATGGGGACAGTAGTGATGAGACTTTTTTAAAAAAGATTATTGAATCAAGCCAGACACAGTGGCTCGAGCCTGTAATCCCACCACTCAGGGAGGCAGAGGCAGGCAGATCTCTGTGAGTTCAAGGCCAGCCTGGTCTATAAAGCCAAGACTACACAGAGAAACCCTGTCTTGGAAGAATGAAAAACAAAACAAGACAAAAGATTGTTGAATCTATTATCTTGGCTCCTTAGTCTGTTACATATTCTTCATAGAGGCTCCTTCCCTTCCTTTCCCTGCCCTTCTTTTTCCTTCCCTTCTTTTCCCTTCCCCTTCCTTCCCTTCCCTTCTCCACCCTTCCCTTCCTTTCCCCTTCCTTCCCTTTCCTTCTCCACCCTTCCCTTCCTTTCCCCTTCCTTCCCTTCCCTTCCTTTCTCCTCCTTCCCTTCCCTTCCCTTCCCTTCCTCTCCCCCTCCTCCCCTCTCCTCCCCTCCTCATCCACTCCCCTCCCCTCCTCATCTCTTCCTCTCCCCTCCCTTTCCCCTCCCTTCCCCTTCCCTCCCCTCCCCTCCCCTTCCCTTCCCTGCTTTAGTTAATGAGACCTCTCTTGGCTGGAGCTGTGGTTGGGATTTGCTGGAGGAGGACTGCTGCACACTCTTTCAGCTGCTAAAAGGGATGGCTGTGTCTGTGCTATGCAAGCAAGCACAGAAGTGCTGGTCCATAGGCTCAGGAAGCCTGGAATCCATCTGCCAATCATCTATAGTCTGTTATTACCCTCCTTGGGAACTTACCCAGGAGGAAGACCTTCACAGACAGGCTTTGGCTCTCACTCATCGTTCAGGGAATGTATCTTCTGAGAAAATAATCTCCAACCACAAACCT